ACCCTTCACGAAGTGCTGGGTATAACAAAATGCAACAACAATTCGAATTATGCGTACAAGATATTCTCTTCTTGTAATTTAGATATTTAAAATTTGAAATTAACATATCAATTTTGAATGAAAAATATTCTATGAATATTTTTTATAAATATATTATGAATACACCTTTAGTAAAAAATTAAAAGACAGTAATTTTATTAAAATCTTTATTCTTTGGTGGTTTTTTTAAAACAGACTTAAATATTATATATTGTTGTACAAGTACAATATACATATTATATTGAAAGAAATAATGCTATGTGATGAATATGGTATTCCACCGTTAGATAGTAAGAGAATTCTCATATGTATTCTTTCCATAAGTTATGTTGAGTTCTCATGATATTATACCGGGTGTATCACAATAATGTCTGCAACAAATTCAATATTTTACTTTTAATATGAAAGTGAAACCGGTGCAACAGCAAATGTGAATACCAAACTTCGCCATAACAAGAAAAGAAAACCATATATAAACAAAACTGATTCTCAAGAAACTGTCCGAGAGTACAAAAATCTAAGTTATGGGTTAGACTTATATGCAAGCAATGAGATCTTATCTAGAATAATAGAAATAAATTTTACCAGTCCCAAATCTAATAAAATATAAAATGTACATGTTAAGTTACATGATATAATTTCCACTAAAAATTTATTCATATTTTAAAGCATAAGAATCATAATTTCTGATATCTTCTTTTTCTTATTATTATCCTTCAGTCAAGTACTGAATCCTATTCTAATTTTTAATAAACAATTGAAATATTTTTTTTTTTCATCGAAGAAAGGAGGAAAGCATGAATGCTACTGACATGTCACTCCCTGGCAACCCATAGTTAGTTATGTGTTTTACCACAAAAACCTCCTCCTCATATTCTGATACTAGTCCCATTAGACCAACCATTTTATTAAAAGATATTTAGCGCTCTCCGATTTGGTGAAGCGCATTTTGCGCTAAATCAGAAGGCAAAGTCCTCTTTAGCCTTCTAGGAGAATCCCGGATAACAAGGAGCTGAGAGGCCTCTACGTTGACTTGTTGCTCCAGACGAGGTCTGTTTCTCACCGCCCTTTCTTTAATTTCGTCAATCACACATGGAATCCCTAGATCTCTGTGAAAATCTCCGTTTCGCACATACCAAGGGGCATCCACCATATTCCGCAAAACCCTACGCTGGACATGGATTTGGCACATCGCCATAACTGAATACCATACAACCAAACCGGTTTAATAATTTGGGTATAGAGCAGGATCTTATTCTGTATCGGCAATCTTGACTTGCGACCCAGGAGCCAACACATTTCTTTGCATTTTATTTCTAATTCTACCTTTTTCTTTTAAACATGTTCTTTCCATTTTAGCTTAACATCCAGTGTCATTCCTAGATATGTTGCCGCATAACATGTAGCGGGTTTACATTATGAGTTTTACTAAAACAACATCATAGTTGTGAAATTAATAAATATGTGCTTATTACACTAACTTTACAAGAACTTTATTTGTAAAATGTATGCATTAACACGTGGGAGTTTACAAGAACTTTACGAGTATTTGTAAAATTTACTTGTGCAGACTTAGTTTCATTTACTTTTATTTTCCATTTCTTGGTTCAAGCATCAAAACTATTGCTTGCCTGCTGCAACTTTCTTGTGGCGTCGTCAATATTTGATGCTACTACCATAACTGTAGTGTCGTCAGCATATTATGTAGTCACAATTATGTTTTGGAATAGTGGAATAGTCGCCCTCCTGTTTGACTCTAAATAATCGGTTGGATAAATAAAAAGAGAGAATATCTACCCTTCGTTTAAAGGTGCCTAACCACTGGTCACATACTTCTCAGTAATGGCTTCTCAAAAAATTTCGACAAAATTACTATCAGAGAAATTGGTCTATAAGACTTGGTCTCAATTAAAGGTTTACCAGGTTTTGGTACCATTATAACTTCTGCTACCTGCCAAGTATTAGGCACATATTTTAACCTTAATGCAGAATTCATTAAAAAAGTCAACATTGTTGTACCCTTTTTCGGTAATTGCTTCAATATCACTGAGGTAATTAAATCATAACCTGCGGCTTTCCTTGACTTTGAACTTTTTATTTCTTTCACTATTTCTCTTTGTGCAAATAGAGCGATAACGTTTTCTGCTCTCACATTTCCTATTGCAGTATTTACGTTTGAGTGTATGTCATTTGGCCTAAAAATTTGTTCAAGATGATCTACAAATATTTCAGCCTTATCCTTATTTTCTATTGCCCATTTGCCATCCGTTCCCCTAATAAGGGGGTCATGTAAAATTGGCCTTTTAAAATTTTTTGCAGCGATAAGGAATAATTACTTTCTTGTCCAGCTGACAAATTTTTAATGTAATTATCAAATGAATCTTCTTTGATTTTTCTTATTTTTCTTTTTAGATTCTGAGTGAGTCGATTGAGTGCGGTTTTATCTGCCGGATCTCGTGAGTTTTTCCATCTGCGTCTAGCTCTTCTCTTTTCGCTTTACGTATTCAGTATTTCCCTTGGGAACCCACGGATTTATACTCATATTGTTTTGTATTATTCCAGGCAGCGCTTTGTATGATTTTATTAAAATTCTCTACCTCAGACTCAAAATCATCTTGGGTTCGTACTTTAATTCTTAAGTTTATTTTTATTCTCTATCTCTTCTTTAAAACTAGTCCAGTCAGTGGATTTATTAATCAACATGGGCTTATTTTGTTTCTTCGAACTGTCTCAGCTAAGTTTAATATAACTGCAGAATGATCCGAATCCAAATCATAGTTATCTTATAAGCTAATGAAATTTGTCGAGATTTTCTTGACAATAAAGAAGTCCAGCAGATCTGGTATTTTATTTCTATCATTTGGCCAATATGTTGGTCTGCCAGTGGATTGGCAGTAACAACCAATTTCTTTAATAGCTTTTTTTAAGCTCTCTATCTCTTTTTGAGATCAATCTAGAACTCTAATCAATATGTTTGGCATTATAATAACCTCCCAGAATAAGCCTTTCTTTAAAGAGATTGAGCAGATCCTTGAATGAACCACTCTTTATAACACGTCCTGGAGGACAATAAAGTACACCAACATCGAAATTTTGTTTATAAGACTCTATTCGTACAGCAACAAGTTGGCTATCGTCTCTTTCTACTTTACTTATTTCATTATGTTTTATATTATTCCTTATCGCTTTATATTCCATGTAACTATTTATTTTTATATTTGTTTGCTGTTTTAAATGTGTCTCCGTTACTAAACATATATCAATATTTTGGGTCCTTAGGAATATTTCTAATATACGCTTCTTATTAAGAACGCCATTTGCGTTCCACGTCGCAATTCTTATTTTATCTTCGTTAATTAACATAGTTTTTATTCTTTTTGGTGTACATGCATAAACATTATCGTGCTTGTGTTCTAATCTTGTCAATCTCAATGAGATTTCGTTCATAGTTTTTATCATATTTTGCATCATTTGCATAATATTTATATTGCTTTCAGCAGGCCTTTGTGTAAATTTCTTTGTTCTTTGGTATGGTTATATGTTTCAACTCTCGCCACTTGGGCATATTGTATTCCCTGCACTCTTTTGCTCATTGTAGTTGTTTTAGGGGTTTTTGGAGTTTTGGGAGTATTTTTTCGTGTTATTTTTGTTTGTTTCTGTTTTGTAAGGTTATTTTTCCTTTTTTGTAATTCCTTGGCGACTATACAACCACTGTAATTCTCAGGATGTGCCTCAGAGCAATTTGCACACTTTGAAGCTTCGATTTCTGTGTGTGCCCATATGTCTAACACCTTCTGCACTGAGGAACTAAATTATTTCTCCTTAGTGATTCAATTTTAATCTTCATGTGCTGAAGTACATCAATTTTGTAAATTTTATTTATGTCCTCCGAATTTTCAAAGATTAACATGAAGAGAGGAAGTCGGAACTCAGAAGTACAGGCTTACTCAGAAGTAAGCCTGTAGCTCTACTTTAGATTCATTTATTTTTTTCGTTAATTCTCTGTAATCTTGTTCTTGATCAACATTGATTTTAAGTTGATTATTATTCATCATGTTGACCCTAAAGTTTATTTTGGCTTCTTTTAGCATCTTTTTTTATTTTTGGATATTCCTCCATATTGCTTAATATAACAGAAGGGGATTTGATCTTTCTTGTAGTGTTTGATCCCTCTTGTAGTGCATTTATCTGCACAGATTTTTCTATTTTGCTTACCTTGTCCTCAGGACTTATTTCAGGTGACATACCTGCTCTGCGCTTTTTGCTCTTTCTCTTGAGAATCCAATCGGTTTCCCGAGCCAGATCCTCCTCGTCTGTGCAGTATTCCACTTTGTTTATCGCAATTTTTTCCGTATTTATTTCTTTTATTGTATTTACATTGCTTGATTCCAATTTCAGCTTATTATTTTCCTCTTTGAGATACTGGATTTCATTTTTTAATTCTTTACAAAGCGCTTTTAGCTTACTTGTTCTTATATTTAAGTGGCTTATATTTAAGTTTTTATATTTTTATATTTAATTATTAGATCAGTTTTTTGATCTTTTATTTCATTAACTGCACCCATACTTTTATTTTTCTGTTTGCTGCCTTTGGACATATTTGCTTTACCGCATGAACCGAGATGTTCTTTTAAAAGGGTCGATAGATGTAGTTTGATGCAATAAGTGTAATGTACGTTTGATGCAATTGAAATATTATAAACAAAATTTCAACACATTTATTTTTCAAGTACATTAAAATTCAAATATATTACACTAAAACCAAACCAAAAATAAATTTATTTTCCTTCTTTAAAATTGAGAAATTAAATTGCAAAGTAACAAAATAAAAATTTCTTTACGAATTAGAATATTGCGTAAATATTCTTTTTATATTTCTTTTTAAGATTTTAAAAAAAGTAATAGGTTTAGATTAAGGTTTGGTTTCTTGAAGTGAAGATTTAATAAATAAAAAGTTAAAATATTTTTGTGTTTTTCTATTTAAAAGTACTACAGTAAGTAATGTAAAAAACTTATGCAGGGTGATACAAAAAGATATAGAACAACATAATATACCACTGATTAAAAGATCAAAAATGGGCTAAACATTTTTCCTGGACAAGGTACCAAATCTCAAGGATTTCTAAGTTACAGATATTTTAAGGAATTTTCGTGAAATTTCTACTTAACCACGTATTTTTATTTATAACTACTGTTCCGAAAAAGATAGCTGCTTCAAACGAACAGTTTCTGAAAGGTCAAGTAAAGGGCTTAAAATCAACACATTACTTGATATTATATTTTATGTGCTTTGGAATACCAAGCATTCTAAATTTAGAAAACTTCGAACTTTTTCCATTTCGTACTTTTTTAGTTTTTTTTTATCTGCACTATTTCGTGTGAAATTTTTATTTACACTAAAGCATATTCTTAAGCTTTAATCCAACTTTCTAAAAGCCAAGATTTTAAAGCCCCTAGTAAAATACAGAAACTGAAAAAAATGTCACTATTTTTTATTTATACGGATTTTGAAAAAACCTACACAGGTAGAAATTTCGCGGAAATTCGTTAAAGCCCCATTAATTCGAAAACCGTTGGAAACTAGTTCGAAACAACTATTTTACACATTTCTAATTCTCTAATCAATGGTATATGTTGTTGTATATCTTTCTGAGTCACCCTGTATATCCTATTACAACTTCGTTTTATAACCATTTGGATTTAAGGTTTGCCATCGCCAAAAATCTCGGCACATGTCTTCAATAGTTCTTGAGGCTTTCCACTTTAAGTCTGTTTCGGCGAGGCTTACTGAAATAAAAAAAATTCTATTATCTAAAGGATAAATGAGTAGTTAATGCTAATATTGTGCTTAAAATCTATATATTTCTTATAAATATATACACAAAAAATTATGACTACATGCAACACAAATTCCAAATATTATGATTGTGTATCGCTATTAGTATGTACGCATAACGAAAATGGCTAGTGGTTTGTTCAGTATGTTTTAAAATGAGGTATCAAGATTTAAAATGAGGTCAAGATTTAAAAAATTGGTTCCATGTTTTTTCTTTAAATTAATATTTTTTCTTAATTTTTGTGTATTTTCCGAATTTTATTGATCATCCTAGCAATCTAAATCAAAACTTATACACATGTGAGGTTTAGAATTTTAGATTATAAATATATTCTCAAAAGAAAAGTCAGTTCATATGACAGTACAAACTCTCATATAGAACGATAGGATCTTTTGTGGTTTCTATTCCAAAAAACATCTATCTAACACAAAGATCATACAAGTTTTGCTTTAATAAGAAGTACGGTACATTTAAAGAAATCATGAAGCCAATGCTAACAGTATTTAATATTTATTCTTCATAAATTGCGATTTTTTATTTATAATTTATAATATATTATTTGTTATTTATAATTTATTATTTATTATTCATTATCTATTATTTATGACTAATTATTTATTATTTATTATTATTTAATTATTATTTATTATTTATTTTTTATTATTTGTTATTTATTATTTATTATTTAATACTTATTATTTATTATTTATAATTTATTATTTATTATTTATTATTTATTATTTATTATTTATTATTTGTTATTTATTGTTTATTATTTATTGTTTATTATTTATTATTTATTATATATTATTTATTATTTATTATTTATTATTTATTATTTATTATTTATTATTTATCATTTATCATTTATTATTTATTGTTTATTATTTATTATTTATTATTTATTATTTATCATTTATTATTTATTGTTTATTATTTACTATTTATTAGATATTATTTATTATTCATTACTTATTATTTATTATTTATTGTTTATTATTTATTATTTAATATTTATTATTTATTATTTATTATTTATTATTTATTAATTATTATTTATTATTTATTATTTATTATTTATTATTTATTATTTATTATTTATTATTTATTATTTATTATTTATTATTTATTATTTATTATTTATTATTTTTTATTTATTATTAATTATTTATTATTTATTATTTATTATTTATTATTTATAATTTATTATTTATTATTTATTATTTATTATTTATTATTTATTATTTATTAGTTATTATTTATTATTTATTACTTATTATTTATTATTTATTATTTATTGTTTATTATTTATTATTCATTATTTGTTATTTATTATTAATTATTATTTGTCATTTATTATTTATTATTACTTATTATTTACTACTTATTGTTCATTATTTATTATTTATTATTTCTTATTTAATATTTATTATTTATTATTTATTATTTATTATTTATTATTTATTATTTATTATTTATTATTTATTATTTATTATTTATTATTTATTATTTATTATTTATTATTTATTATTTGTTATTTATTATTTATTATTTATTATTATTAATTATGTATTATTCTTTGTTTATTATTTATTATTTTTTTTTATAATTTATTATTTATTATTTATTGGTTATTACTCATTATATATTATTTATTATTAATTATTTATTATTTATTATTTATTATTTATTATTTATTATTTATTATTTATTAATTATTATTTATTATTTATTATTTATTATTTGTTGTTTATTATTTATTATTTATTATTTAGTATTTATTTATTATTTATTATTTATTATTTATTTATTATTTATTATTTAATATTTATTATTTTTTATTTGTTATTTATTATTTATTATTTATCATTTATTGTTTACTATTCATTATTTATTAGTTATTATTTATTATTTATTATTCATTATTTCTTATTTATTATTTATTATTTATTATTTATTATTCATTATTTATTATTTATTATTTATTATTTATTATTTATTATTTATTATTTATTATTTATTATTTATTATTTATTATTTATTATTTATTATTTATTATTTATTATTTATTATTTATTATTTATTATTTATTATTTATTATTTATTATTTATTATTTATTATTTATTATTTATTATTTATTATTTATTATTTATTATTTATTATTTATTATTTATTATTTATTATTTATTATTTATTACTTATTATTTACTATTTATTATTTACTTTTATTTATTAATTATTGTTTATTATTCATTATTTATTATTTATTATTTGTTATTTATTATTTATTATTTAATGTTTATTATTTATTATTTATTATTTCTTATTTATTATTTATTATTTATTATTTATTATTTGTTATTTATTATTTATCATTTATTATTTATTGTTTATTATTTACTATTTATTAGATATTATTTATTATTCATTACTTATTATTTATTATTTATTATTTATTATTTAATATTTATTATTTATTATTTATTATTTATTATTTATTATTTATTATTTATTATTTATTATTTATTATATATTATTTATTATTTATAATTTATTATTTATTATTTATTATTTATTATTTATTATTTATTATTTATTATTTATTATTTATTGTTTATTATTCATTATTCATTATTTGTTATTTATTATTTATTATTTATTATTCATTACTTATTATTTATTATTTATTGTTTATTATTTATTATTTATTATTTAATATTTATTATTTATTATTTATTATTTATTATTTATTATTTATTATTTATTATTTATTATTTATTATTTATTATTTATTATTTATTATTTATTATTTATTATTTATTATTTATTATTTATTATTTATTATTTATTATTTATTATTTATTATTTATTATTTATTGTTTATTATTCATTATTCATAATTTTTTATTTATTATTTATTATTTATTATTTATTATTTATTATTTATTATTTATTATTTATTATTTATTATTTATTATTTATTATTTATTATTTATTATTCATTATTTATTATTTATTATTTATCATTTATTATTTACTATTTATTAGATATTATTTATTATTCATTACTTATTATTTATTATTTATTGTTTATTATTTATTATTTATTATTTAATATTTATTATTTATTATTTATTATTTATTATTTATTATTTGTTATTTATTATTTATTATTTATTATTTATTATTTATTGTTTATTATTTATTATTTATTGTTTATTATTCATTATTCATTATTTGTTATTTATTATTTATTGTTTGTTATTCATTTTTCATTATTTGTTGTTTATTATTTATTATTTATTATTTATTATTCATTACTTATTATTTATTATTTATTGTTTATTATTTATTATTTATTATTTAATATTTATTATTTATTATTTATTGTTTATTATTCATTATTCATTATTTGTTATTTATTATTTATTGTTTATTATTTATTACTTATTATTTATTATTTATTATTTATTATTTATTATTTATTACTTATTATTTATTATTTATTATTTATTGTTTATTATTCATTATCATTATTTGTTATTTATTATTTACTATTTATATTTATTATTTATTATTCATTATTTATTATTTATTATTTATCATTTAATATTTATTGTTTATTATTTACTATTTATTAGATATAATTTATTATTCATTACTTATTATTTATTATTTATTGTTTATTATTTATTATTTATTATTTAATATTTATTATTTATTATTTATTAATTATTATTTATTATTTATTATTTATTATTTATTATTTATTATTTATTATTTATTACTTATTATTTATTATTTATTATTTATTATTTATTGTTTATTATTCATTATCATTATTTATTATTTATTATTTATTATTTATTATTTATTATTTATTGTTTATTATTTATTATTTATTGTTTATTATTCATTATTCATTATTTGTTATTTATTATTTATTATATATTGTTTATTATTCATTTTTCATTATTTGTTATTTATTATTTGTTATTTATTTTTTATTATTTATTATTTATTGTTTATTATTCATTATTCATTATTTGTTATTTATTATTTATTATTTATTATTTATTATTTATTATTTACTATTTATTATTTATTATTTATTATTTATTATTTATTATTTATTATTTATTATTTATTATTTATTATTTATTATTTATTATTTATTATTTATTATTTATTATTTATTATTTATTATTTATTATTTATTATTTATTATTTATTATTTATTATTTATTATTTATTATTTATTATTTATTATTTATTATTTATTATTTATTATTTATTATTTATTATTTATTATTTATTATTTATTATTTATTATTTATTATTTATTACTTATTATTTATTATTTATTATTTATTGTTTATTATACATTATTCATTATTTGTTATTTATTATTTATTATTTATTGTTTATTATTCATTATTCATTATTTGTTATTTATTATTTATTATTTATTATTTATTATTTATTATTTATTATTTATTATTTATTATATATTATTTATTATTTATTATTTATTATTTATTATTTATTATTTATTTTTTATTATTTTTATTTATTATTTATTATTTATTATTTATTATTCATTACTTATTATTTATTATTTATTATTTATTATTCAGTATTTATTATTTATTATTTATTATTTATCATTTATTATTTATTGTTTATTATTTATTATTTATTATTTATTATTTAATATTTATTATTTATTATTTATTATTTATTATTTATTATTTATTATTTATTATTTATTATTTATTATTTATTATTTATTATTTATTAGTTATTATTTATTATTTATTATTTATTATTTATTATTTATTATTTATTATTTATTATTTATTATTTATTATTTATTATTTATTATTTATTATTTATTATTTATTATTTATTGTTTATTATTCATTATTCATTATTTGTTATTTATTATT